GCGGGGGGGCGAGGGCAGCCGCCCACCAGCCCGCTGCTGCTCCTGTTCATGTGGGCCCAGTGATGCCAAGCAGGATGCATTTTAACCTCCTAGCAGACTGGGCGCAGGTCACTCTGGAGACACAGAGCACAAATAACTGGGGAGGGGAGGTTTCCGTGTCTGTTTTAGTATATCGTGGCTCACTCCAGATTGGCTCATGTTCTTAGGGCTGAATGGTACTGACCGAGAGTGAGGGCTCCAAGGCCTCCTGCATTTCCGACCCCTTTCCTGACCAGTTTTATGTGCATATATATGACGTCTAATTATTTTGATGAACATCTGGTGAGTTGTCCCGGGGCCCACACCTGAGCACACCACACAAGAACCCCTCCGCAGAGGCCGGGTTCCGATCTCTATGAAGCACCCCATCCCTTCAGCCTGCTCTGTGGGGTCCTGAATTGGTCATCTAGGTGACTGTCCTGGCAGGCATGGAAGCTGAGGCTGTCTTTGTACTCCCATGTCCTCATTCTAGTAAGACACGAATAAGGTCAAGGGCAGGGGCTCAGAACCTGTCCCCTGAACCCCTGCTCCCCACGGGCACCGACCTGTTAATGGCAGTGCTCATTCCACCAGCCATGGCCTTGCAATATCTCAAAAAAGCCCCTTCAGAATAAAATGTTGCCCACCAAGCATATGCTTTTCTTTAGGAACACGCATATGTCTATGGAACACGAAAACCTCCTATTTCTCTTTTTTCCATCAAGGCCTTACATTTAACATGCTTCCTGCACACATCTGTAAATCAACATGTTCTGGCACAGATCGCAATCCAAGAGAGGATGGGTTGTTTTGACTGATAGTTTGTCAAAAATGTTATGAGAAATTGAATGAAACTATTTTACTTTATAAAATTAATTTAAAATAGAATTATAAATTAGAAGAGACGTGTGCAGATACATGTCTGCCTAGCTATTCCTAGATAGAATTACACTGGCCTGCTTTTTAAATAGAACCAGAAAGATTATGTAAATCCTATTGGAAAGTCAGCATTAAACATTACATTTTCAACATAAATGTTTTCAGTTTGGTCAAATTGAGACCATCAGACTTATAGAGACATTCACATGTCAGTGGAAAAGAGAGCAGAAGGCTTCAGACACACATGGTGCTGAGTCCCGGCTGGACTTTTGGGCAATGTGCATTTTGATCAGCCAGAGAATCTTAGAAAATACTAGGAGAGAAGCAGTATATAGTCAGTGCGTAGGAAGAATTCTAAGATGACCTCCAAAATTCCCATCCTCTGGAGCACATGCCTCCATAATCCTTTCCATAAGTGTGAGCAGGACCAATGATGACATGGGTAGCATCCATGCTTAGGTTACATTAAGAAAAGGAATGTTCCAGATGCAATTAAGGTCTCTCATCAGTTGAGGCAGATTGCCCTGGGTGGGCCTGGCCTAATCAGGTGAGTTCTTAAAGGAAGTCCGAGCAATTCAGAGAGAGACTCTCCTACTGGCCTTGGAGGAGCAGCTGCCTTGGAGAGAGGCCACATGGCAAGGACCTTAAGTGGCCTTGAATTGTTGAGAGTGGTCCCTGGATAACAGCCAGGAAGGAAATGAATTCTGCCAACAACTAGTGAGTTGGAAAATGATCCTGGCCTCAGAGAGGTTGCAGCCCTGGCTGCCTCCTTGATTTCAACCTCGGGAGACCCTGAGCAAAGGCCCAGTGTGCCTAGACTCCTGGGCCACGGAGCCTGTGAGCTCAGCAGCCTGCTGAGTTGGTGACCATTAGTTAGTCACCCAGCAACAGGTAGCCCATGCTCAGGAAGGGCAGGTCACAGCAGGAAGGAGAGCTGTTCAGATGATGCCTCCAGGCTTGGAGTCCCTGATGGCTGGGTTTTCATGTGACCGTAAGAAAAACTTATGGGATTGACATCTCACATTAGCTGTTCTGCACACAGATGGCTTGATCCCACCCGTGGGTTCCTCAGTCGGGGCTGTGGGGCAGGGTCTGTGAATTGTCGTGTCTAGCAGGCTCCTGGGGGAGCCAACTGCTGCCAGCCCTGGCTCCTCGCTTTGAGAACCACTGCCAAGGATGAATAGATGTTCTAAGTTTCAAGAAAGTTTTGATTTCTAGACCCCGTTTGACATGAAAACATTTTTAACGAGACATTTTTATAAAGAGAAGGTACAGAAGTTTTCACAGCTTGAATAGGCTGAGGTGACTTCTAATCTCTATCATCTGAGATGTTCTATTTGGGTAGAGTGATAAGGGACTCGGCCAAGCCTTTTGTTTTTGTCTTTGAATTATGTTGTTCTCTTACTGCAGGTGGCAAGGTCTTGAGGAGGGGTGGTGACTGCAGAAGAAGGCTTTTCCCTTTCTCCTCATCTGCCCAGCTCCCCAGCATTAGCCACCTCAGCTGCACCTGCCATCCAGGGATAAGCCTCCAGTCTGTTTCCAGCTGGCAGGTGCGACAGCGGCCCTGGACGGGCCTGGAAGAGCAGAAAGCCCTCCAGCTGCCTGGGTCCTGCCAGGTCCCTTCATCGCTGTCCCCTCTGAGATGTAGCAGAACAGCAGACTGGGAGCACAAAAGGACATCATTGCTGAGATTTGAGGACACCCAGGGGATTCCAGCAAGTACAGAACCAAGGGCTCTTTATACAAGAAGAGGATAAATCTCTTGCCTGCAGGTGAGAGAGGATGTGGGGCGTGTGTGTGAGCGTGTGTGTGCACACATTGGGTGCACCAATCGGCAGGAGAAGCAGAGAAAAGGTTCCTCGTGTGACTATGAGAGAGTGCGCTGCAAGCCGATTTTAACAGGAACAGAGAGTTCCCATGATTTTAAGACATAATTTAAGAATTATTTATTCGGGAGAACTCAGCATTAGCACGTTATCCAAAACGACTCTCGTTGCCTGTGCCCGTCATAAAGCCTGCTGATAATCAGGACGGGGAGGGGGCCTCACTAATTGAAAACATCTGCTAAAATTGAACAGGCTAATCACGTCTTGTTTTTGTTATTTTGCTCAGGATACAATCTTGAAAGAGTGGCATTGAGTGATTATTCGAGTAAATGTGTATTTTTAAGCAGAATGTAGGTGTGCCTGGACTTCACGTGCCAAGACAAAAAGGACGGCTTTTTCCATTAGAACAGTTTGGGCTGCGTCCGCTGCCAGCTTTTATGATTTTTTTAATGTATTATTTTCCCCAAGGAGAAGCGGGCGCACTCAGGCCTTCTCCCGGCTGCTGCAGAATGATGGATGTTGGACTTCTTTTAATCCAAATAATGAAGAGTGTCTGAAGCTTTAGTAACCGGATCTCCCCGACTTTAAAGACCACTGCCAGCATGTCCCTAGCCCAGAGGTCTGGCAACTCCTCTTAATCGTAGCAAAAGGATTACAAAGTGCAAAGCCAGCCCCAAGCGGCTCTGCCACGGGTGGGTTCAGAACTGAGCCTAAGAGCCTCGGGTCTGCTCCCTCCCACATGGCCCTGGGTCCCGCCTCTCAGCTTCCTCCCCTGGGCCCAGCTTGGCAACATGGAGGGCCCAGGGAGAAGACGCCAAGGGGGTTTGACTTTAGACATAGACACAGCAAGGGCTGATGTGTCAGGCTCAGGGCCGGCGAATCCCAGTGCCCACACGGTCCTGGTGGGGCCAGCGCAGGAGAAACAGGCAGTAGAGAAGCGGGCCATGGCTTCCTGCAAGTGATAAAAAGCAGCCACCTGGCCATAAAGTTGGCATGAAGAGCCAGAGCCTGTTCACCATTCAACACATTTTAGTGTCGTAGCAGGAACCGAGGGTGAGTGGCTGGGGCGCTGATCTGGACTTGTCTACACAACAGCTGCAGTTCTAGGGGCGTCTTCCTAGTCTGGGGATGAGCACAGAGGAGCCTGTGGTCCTTTGGCTCCCGAAGGCTGGGAGGAGAGAGCGCGGGCCGGGACCGACCGCGGGCAAGACGGGCCCGGAGAGGCCCACAGACGCCGGCCCCTCGCGCGCCAGGCTCTGGTTTGTGCGCCTCTCCAGAGGAAGTGCAGCGGCCTCGCAAACCCCACGGCGCTCAGCGCAAGTGTCCCCGGCCGCTCAGTGAGTCCAAGGCAGACGCCTGTGTCCATCTGATTTGCCATGCTAGGCCAAGCTTATTTTATTACATACATTCTGCATTCTAAGAACTAATAACTTCATATTGTAAACATTAAGCATACAGAGTTAAAATTCAAGGCCACATTGTATCATTGATTGTCTCTTCTGTTGTGTATCTTTGGCTGGCCGAGATCAACTCGTAGTGTATAAATGCATAAGTTATATAATTATTATATAAAAAGGAAAAAAACACTGACTTGTATACTTCATTCTGACAAACGCACAGCGTTCGCGACTCAAAAGGAAAACTGTAGCCCGCCTGACCCCAAAGCCAAGGTGATTCCGGGCGGGGGGCCCAGAAGGCTCTCTCTTACCTGCCGCTGTGGAGAACACAGCCCCCGCGCGTTGATGAGGTCCTGAATGTGTCCTTTAGCTATCAGACAATTCCAGTTAAAAATTTCTTTTGACACACACACACACACTAGAGATGCCTGTTTTGGTTTCCGCCTCCGACGGCTTCCCTGCCCCACTCAGGCCGCGTCCTTCCTCAGAACACCGGGTTTGGCCCAACACCGGCCGCACCCAGCCTCGTGACCGTGACCCGCTCCCCACCGTCCCGACACCGTCCCAAGTCCAGTCTTGCCCGCTTGCGAAGTGCTTCCCCAGCTCGTCCCTCCTCGCCCGCCTGCCCCTCTCGCACCTCCCCCAGCCCTCGGCCCACAACCGCTGTCTCTCTGTCACGTCCCAGGTCCCCTCCTCGGTCCCGTCGGCTCCGAGCTCCCGTAATCCTGCAAAGGGATTGGACACTTCGGGTGGTCTTCACAGTTAGAGCTGCCGGCTCTCCAGCCAGCGGGTCGGGTCGGATGTCACCCCAACCCGCACGTGCCGGCGAGTTCCCAACCAGCGTCCGCTGAGGGGCCGCCTGGCGCTCGGCCCTTTCGTCTTGATATGTGTCTGTTTTTTAAATACAGGTAGTTTTCCTTGCAATGGCGTCATGAACGGTGTGTTAGGTCCAGACTATGCTCTATCTCTATTGCTTTAGATTCGTCCCGGTTTACGCCAGCGGACCCAGACTCCCTGTGGACACGCTCCCGAAGCCCAGTCCCTTTGGCACGGCGTCCCCCGACCTCGCGCTTCTACTTGACAGTGTCCTTCCCCAGCCGGGCCACCGACTGCACGTCCACGGCCCGGACGTCTGCAGCGTCCTCGCAATGGCTATAGTGATGCTTTGGTAATTCCCTCCCGCCAGAACCCTTGGCTGCGTCCCTGGCTTCCTCCCCCAGCCCCCAGTCAAGCCTGGTCGTCCCTCCTGAGGCACTTTAGATTCGTGGTCTCCCATAGAGTTTGTGGCAAGTCGTGGGTGGGGGCGGCTTGTCGGGAAAGGTCTCTCTGGGCCCTTAGTAGTAGGAGCCGAGGTGGGAAGGCATGTGGCCGGCGGGCAGCCTGGTGTTGGGGTAGATGCCTCCGGTCGGGGAGTTCCAGTACGGGTTTGGGGCGGCGAAGAAACTGGAGGACGTCACGGGCAGGGCGGGCGGGTGGGGCGCCACAAAGTTCATCTTCTGCGGGTGCGCGTGGTAGGAGCCCATGTAGGGGAGGTCCGAGGGGTACTTGTACAGGGACGACTCCGGCGGGTGGGGCTGCAGGGCCTGGGCGATGCCGTGGAAGTCGAACTTGTAGGCGTAGCGCTTGCCGTGCACCTTGGTCATGATGTTCTTGTCGTAGTAGTAGCGCAGCGCGCGGCTGAGCTTATCGTAGTTCATGTTGGGCTTGCTCTTGCGTTCGCCCCAGCGCCGGGCCACCTCGTCCGGGTCCGTCATCTTGAACTCCCCGTTGGTGCCCTCCCAGGTGATGCAGCTGGAGTTGGAGCTGTCCGACAGGAGCTCCAGGAGGAACTGCCAGAGCTGGATCTGCCCGCTCCCTAGCGAGGGGGAGGCAAAGGTGACAGCAGTGAGGACAGTTCTAGGGTGGGGATGCTCCCGGATCCCCTCCCCGGCGTCTGGGCGCCCATCCCTCCCTGCAGGCTCTGTTCCACAAGCCCCTCTTCTCCAGAGAAGGCCCTGGACTGATCAGGACCTGCCTCGTGCACCCCCAGCTACGCGCCACCGGAGGGACGGACACCGAGCCTCGAAGGCTGCCCCTGCTCAAGGAGACGCCAGGTCTGTGACGCTGCTCAGGCCCTGGCCCCGCTGGAGCAGAGTGGGGCCCGGTTCCAGCTCCAGCCACAGCCTTCCAGGCTTGGCCTGGCCCGGTCCTGCCTCCAAGGCCTTCTCTCCGGGGACGTGCCCCGGTTAATCGCTGCACAAGGATCTTTATCCCGCTCTGCGCCTGGAGAGCCTGACCTCAGAGGATCGTGGGGACCCTGGGGCCGGCCCACTCAGCCAAGGCTTTTCTGGAATGCAGAGAATGCCTACGGGGCAGGGTTCCGGTGGCTCCGTCCATTTCTGACTTCCTTAGAAGAACAGCCAGGTCAGCCTTGTGTTTGGGGGGTGGAAGGTCTGATGTTTCCTATCTGGGGAGGCAGAAAGTGCCACTATGTGGTGGCAGTAATGACTTAATGCCATTTATATTGGCGAGGTCAAGTAAAATAATAAAAGTCAGATGGAGGAAATGAACTCCTAAAAAGTTTATGGAAAAAAAAATAGAGAATGGAAGTAAACACTGTTATTTCTAACATAACATTTTGCTGGCACTCCTAACGTGATTCTGTCAAAACCTTTCCTAGAACAGAATTAACCCTCTCAAAATGAGGAAGTTTAGAAAAAAAAAGTTGGCTCTTTTTCAAACCAGATCACCCATTTCCAGTATTTTGGGCAAAGGCATCGTAACGGAAATCCACGCATGTGAGGCCCTGGACCGGATGCCAACCGTCCGGCAGTTTCCAAAAGACAAACTGCTATGGTACGTGATTTCACCTCTTAGGCTCCAAGTGAGACTCTGACTTAGTCAATGAGGCCTCACCCCTTGGGTGTGCAGAGCCAGCACCTTCGGAGGCACAGACTCGGCTTCATGATTTATTAAATTCAAAGCACAATCGGGCTCATCATTCTAGCTGCGGAGCGACGCTGCGTTAAGATGACATATGGCTCCCTGGGGGAGCGGAGCCTGTGAGTATCAACGTCAGGTTGAGGAGCAGCAGTTCCACGTGCTGCACAGACGTTAGGAGCTTTAAAAATGGGGAAGAGGCAGGTCGTTCCTCCCAAGGCTCAGCTCCAGAGCTGCCTTGGGCATAGCGCCAAAAAGATTGCCTTTCACTATAAATATCAATAGATGTGATAACAGGATTAAAGGGACCTTAACTGGCAGCTGTTCAGGGAATTGATGTCATGTAAAAATCAATTATAAATTTGTTTTTCTCTGCATTCTTTCCACTATACAAGTAGGACTCTGTATAAATCGTCCAAGTCGTAAATCGTGGTTTCCACACCAGCTACATGGAAATGGATACGTTTGTGAATTTATCCACACACAGCACCGTGAGAAAGGTCAGCGTTTGCTGAACATGTTCTGGAAAATTATCATTTTCAGTCTAGCAACACATTTGAAATGTATTAACAGCTTGTAGTTGATGGCAATGGGGGCCTTTGCTTTTTCGCGACCACATACTCAAACTGTTCCCAATCAATTTTTGTTGCCCCCAACATGTCATTAATATGCATTGAAAAAATACTAAGAATAGTATGAGAAAACCATATGGTTTGAGTATGTGTATCGTAACTAAAGGATTGCAACTTGAGAAAAGTCCACACAGGACCTGGGAATAGGGAAAAACATAGATTTTTGATTTAACCATCGAACATATGCTTCAACATAAACACAGAGTTGTTGGAAAATAAGTGTTCAGTGTCAGCTTCTTCCCGGGGAGAAAGCAATTCTGCGGATTTTCTATAAATACACAGACCTTCAGAAACAGCTACAATATCTCTCGGAATCTACTTTGCCTCTTAGGAATTTGCCCCCGATGTGCTTCCTTTATAAACGCGCATTAGATAAAAGCCTCAGACGGAGACTCTGCTCTCCCCTGCTCCTGAAGAACCAGAACGCTGGGGATCTAAATTCACGGCTGAACACTCAAAGCTCAAAGGATGGATGAGCACATTCTCAGGAGACAATTTCACCCTGCGCTTTCAGCCACAGAGCTCGGGTCTCGTACAGGTCAAGGGTCTAGGGGAATAAGAGCCTGGAGACAAAATTCATCAGCTTCCAACCGGAGAACGAAACAGGCAAGATAGAAGTCAACGTCTAAGTCAACGGCATGAAGTGTGACATCACGTTGAGCCCAAGCGTTGCTCACTTAGCGTCTGTGACCAAACCCTTCGTGTTCACCGGGTACGGAGGAGTCCCCGAGGACCAATATGGTGGCTGAGCAGTGGACACCCCCAGCACTACTGTGGCTACAGACTAGCCAATGCCATTCCTTAGTGGCCTAAACAAATGACTGCCATGAGATATGGTGCCTTTTAGAATAGAGACTTGGGGTTCCCCAGCAAGGATGCCTGGCGTTTGGCCAAACCTAAGAGTAGGTTGGCCTGCTCAGTGGCCACACCAGCAAGTGAAAAAAGTTCACTCGGGAAGGATTTCCCATCCCACAGCACCCCAGCTCGGCGGCGTGAACCTCCTCTCCTTGGTGAGACCTCAGCCTACTTTCTCACTCTACCTGGATGACATCCTTGTAACACTGCTAAGGAATAGCTACTTCTGCCCCAGCTTTGTCCCAAGGTGATTAACTAAACAGCCAGGATGGGGCGAGGAAGCCAAGGTGGTGACCCCGCCCACACAGAGGAGAGCCCAGTGGGGTGCGGGGGAGCTGGGGGGGGTGTAGATGAGGACAAAAGGCAATTCTTTCATTTTTGGGAGAAATGTGATCTCAGGATGTAATCAAAGAAGAGAGACATGGTAGCAGAGAGGTGCCAAGTGAGAAAGAAAAAGGCCACAACCACGCAACAGTTGACAAAGCACAGAAAAAAGCAGAGCTTGGTGTGACTCAGCCACTGTGGCAAGTGGGCAGGGCAGGGTCTGTGGCCCAGCTGAGGACAGAGCGACAGGGGCCCTGCAAAGCCATGTGGCAGTGCCTTTGGAGCCATTTTCTGCATTGGGTGGGGTGCTGCAGAAAACCCCACATGCACAGCCTGGACCCGCCACCACACTAGGGTCAAGGCAGCAGGCCCGTCCAGATGGAAGGCTTTGCCCAGGCTCTCCCGGCTCAGACAAGACGTGCTGGAGGGAAGGGGAGCGTGGTGGCCAGGAGCACCATGTTGGAATTAGCACTGTCTTGGCTGAAGCCTGCTCTGCTACTTCTGGGCCCTGGGGCAGCACGCCTTACCCCAGCCCTCTGTGCCTCAGTGTCTTCAGCTGTAAAATGGGCTTGATGGTACCAGCACTCTTACAGGGTTACTACAAAGATGAACTAGGTATGTGACTGCACTCATCGTGACGTGTTTAGGCTGGAAGCCAGCTAGGGGAATGGTCTGCCTCACCCATGACTGGGGATGCCCAAGGCAGTCACCTCCGCAGAACACATGCCAGTGGTGCAGAGCCTGGGGGGATGGCGGCCGGCACCCCTTGAAAGCTATCATGTGCCTGACACTATTCTGGAAGATTAACATGTGTTTATTTAACCCCCTTCACTCACACCCCCTGCCACCCCAAGAATCATTCTAGGGCTTCCCCAGTGGCGCAGCGGTTGAGCGCTGGGTTGCGAAGCTGCCCGCAGCCTCTGCAGCGCCGGTTCAATCCCCGGCTGCTCCCGGCCACTGGAGGAGGGTCCCACATGGCGCGCAGACCTCTCCTGCCGCCCGCTGCTCCCCTCAGCAGTGGACTTCGGTCCTTCTGCCTGCTCTGCTCCCTGCTCTGGCTCTGGTGAATTCTCTCAGCCTCCCGCGCCTCTGACTGTACCCAGTGCATGTATAAATAAATAGATAAATAAATAAACAAACAAACAAATAAATAAACAAATAAATCTTGAAAAAAAAAAAAAGAATCATTCTGAAGGTGCTGGTAGAAACAGATCTCAGAGAAGTAGAGCAACCTCTTCCTCCTCGGGCCGTGAGGGCTGGGGCCAGCTCAGGACGCCCGGTTACTGCGCCAGCCACAGCGTCTGGCGTCTGGACACACCGCTGCAGTGCCCCCCGCCCCCCGCCCCGTGCTCCTCAGCTGCGACAGCGTGGGGACGCGTGTCAGCGCCATCTGGCCCCCAGAGGCAAGCCCACCACCAGCTGAGGGAAAAGGTGGTTTGGTCCTGTTTGGCGCGGACCAGCACTCTCCTCTGCTTCACCCCCGACCTCCAGTCCATGGAGCTCAGAGTCTCACTTTTCTGGTGCTGGGGATGAACCGAAATGGCCCAGTGGAGACCTTCCTTCCGGGCCTCTTCAGTCCCCATTTTCCAAGACCTCCATTTTCCAAGGCCTCCCTCTCCCGTCCCTGCTTGACCAGCGGCAGCACGGGGCAAGAAAACCCCAGAGCTGAGAAACAGGACAGTGTGGAGCCCTCCCATCTTACTGGCTGTGGGACCCAGGGACGGCCACCTCGTGTCCCTGGTCCTCTCAGTCCTCTTCTGCAGGACGAACAGGCTAATCCCCGGCTGCGGGGAGGCGGGAGCTGGGCCATGAGCGCCTGCCCGGGCCTCCCAGGGGGTGGACGCCACGTGATGGTAACTTCACAGTATTTTACTGAGGTTCCCGGGCTGTTTCAGCTTCTGTCCCTTCCTTCTCTCTAATGCTGACCACTGCTGCCGGGCCAGTCTTCCTGAAGCGTGCCTGGTAATAATCATCTCAAAGAGGTATCAGGCCTCCCTGGCGGCGCAAGGGGTCAAGTCTCAGCACTATGAAACTATCTGCAGCTCCTGCAGCCTGATTTCGGTCCTGGGCCAGGGAACTGACCCACGCGGCGCATCAGACCTCTCCTGTCTCCCCGCTGCTCCCCTCAGCAGTGTATCTCCGTCCCCCACTCTGTCTCTGGTGAATCCTCTTACCCCCGCACCCCTGGCCTACACCCCAGTTCTTGTATGCATAAATAAATAAATCTTTATAAAAAACCCAGAGATATCCTTGTTATCTGAACAGTCATGGAAGCAGCTGCAGAGGGAAAGCGATCACAGGTCTGAGGACAGACAGACACCCCCAGGAGCCTGGACACCAGCTGCGGGCGGGGAGACCAGAGCCTGTGGCTTCACTGTTTGGGCAATGCTGCAACCACCTGTGCCCCTTTCTCCACCAGGACACAAGCTCCTCGGGGTCGAGACTGGCATCTCGAGCTCCTCAGGGTCGAGGCTGGCATCTCCCTGTTCCTTGCTTTGCTCCAATCAGCAAATAACTACTGCGCACTGAACGGAGAGAGCACCTTGTCGCTGCTCAAGTGCCTCAAAAGCCTTTGCTGAAGATTTGTTCTCTTCCGTCCCCCTCCCACTCTGGCAGTTTCTGTCTATGATACTAAAGGACTATGGGTGTTTGGTGGTGGCTGTGGTGTGGTAACAGCGCCTGAAGGGGCGATCCTACAACTCCAAATCACCTACCAGGTTGCAAACCGATGTCACCTCTTTAAAGAATAAATAATAAAATTTGAAAAACATCACAAATGAATGTCAAAGATGCCGAGGCTCAATAATGATGACACTTTACACCTCACGGTATACCTTCCCTTTGTGGCTACACTCTGGTTGGATCTAAACTTTTCCATTTGCAGTCCCGTTTGGCCTCGATGCTGAAGCATATACATTCCCACTTGGACTTGCTCTGTGCCTGTGACATCTTGGCACTGAGTTTGCTGCTGAGAATGTGCAGCGTGTGCTGTGGGCTTCTGCAGCCTGTGCCAGCACAGCTGGTTCTGCTCTGAATGCAAACAGAGAACACAATTTGGTTGGCGCTGAAATGCGATGACAGGCCACGACCCCTGGCAAGGTACTGGCTCCCAGCGGGTCAGTAAGAATCTGCACGTTCCTCCAGCATCTGCGCCCAGAGGCTGAGCACCCCTGCAAGAGGAGCCTAGCCTGTCACTGCGGCTCTCCTCGCTGCACTTCCTTATCTGCCTGTGGGACGTGGTGAAGGGTATCACCCCTCCCCTGCCAGATTTACATATTGGAGGCCCAACCCCAACACCTCCAACCGCGATCTTATTTGGAAACAGAACCTTCACAGAGGCCATTAAGTTAAACGGAGGCTGTCAGGGTGGTCCAACAGGATGCTGTCCCGATAAAAAGAAAACCCTGGACACAGAGACACAAACAGGAGGAAGACGAGGTGAAGAGACATGGGCAGAAGACGGCCACCGACTCCAAGGAGAGAGGCCCGGGACAGAGCGGCCCTCACGAGCCTCAGAAGGACCCACCCTGCTGGCATCTGACACCTTGATTCGGGATTTCTCCAGAACCCTGAGACAAGAAAAGTCCCCACTCACTCTGGGTTTTAGCATCCGGGGGAAACTGGCACAGCTTGGATTAGGTGCTAATGCTCTTTGCTGAAACTAAAATCTTCATTTAAATCCACCCATTTTTTTTTTCCACTTGGGCAAATAATTCAGGGAGAACTTTTGCTCAGGGTTTTACGGACGGCAGGATGGAGAAGGCAGGGACCGTCCACGCTTGGGTTCTATTCAACCACCAGGAAAAGCGAAATGTCCTGTTTATAGCAAGATGGAAGGAGTCGGAGGGAATTACACAGTCAAGCACGTCAGAAGGACAAAGACAAATACTGGACATTTCACGCAGCGGATGACATGGCAAAGCAGGATGCTTACGAAAACCAGCTGACACCAATACCTGAAGTTTCTCAGGTTAAGGAGGAGAGAGGGGGGGTCAAAGGGGACACAAGGGATGGTGAGATAAAAGGTTGACGCTGTTCTCCGTTAGCCCTGGCTGGAGGAGAATCCATCACAAAGCTGGCAGAGTGAGAAAAAATTAGTTGCCGACCCAAAATTAACTTTTTAAGGGCAAAATCATCAACAGCAGCAATATCTCACCTGGATTTGCAAGGCGGCTACTGGTTGGTCCAAGAATCTGATAAGGATCTACAGCAAAAAGAACAGAAGTCAATTCTCAAAGAAGGAGCTGTGCAGCCTGGTGTGATGACCGTGCCGGCGCTGACCCACTGGGCTTCCGGACTCCAGAGCCTGCCCCAGCTCCCAAATGAAAGGGCCTCTTCCAAAAGAGACCCGGCTTGCTCAAGGCATTCTCGTGGTGGCCGTGCTCAGGGCTGGCCAGGGGTCCGGACACAAACAGGGCAAAGTATGTTAAGTCCCCATGGCCACGTGGGCTGCATAGCTCAGAGCATGGGCAGTATCAACCCCACCGCCTTCCCACACTTGATTCTGCCCAGGAGCTGATACGGCTGCACAGTCTGAGAAGTGAAATTAGAAGAGCTCATAAGGCACAAAGCAGCAGAGAGTGTGAGGCAACTGGGGGTGTTCTCATATTTATGGCATAGATTTTGGAAATGTTTTAGCAAAGTCTCCAGTCATCAGGAGCAGACAGATCATCTGGTCTCCGCTCTCTATATAAAGCAGTCATAAAAAAGATAAAGTGGAGTTAATTTCATTGAGAAAGTGATGTTTCAGAAATACCCTGTAGCACCTGCCTCGTACAGACGTTCAACAGTCCCTGAAACATACCTAACTGAGGACGCTGGTCTTCAGTTTTGGGCACTGTGGAAGGAGATGGTTGAGCAGCTGAAAATACAAAAGTGAAAGAGAAAATCAGCTGTGATTTTGATTTGGCCTTAGTCTTTGATGCTGTTGCATAATCGTTTCATCATCTACTTTAGTTATTAACATAGTAGTCTCGCTCTTCGAGTAAGAAATACTGGATGATAAGAAAAAAATTTTCTTGCCAGGAGACCAAATACAAACACTGTATTAAAAAAGAAAGAACGGGCCCTCTATATTTTTTTTTTTTTAAATAGAGGCATGTTTATTTATTTATTTATTTGTTTGTTTGTTTGTTTGTTTTGTTTATACAAGCACTGGGTACAGTCAGAAGCGCGGGAGGGTGAGAGAATTCACCAGGCCAGAGCAGGGAGCAGAGCAGGCAGAAGGACTGAGGTACACTGCTGAGGGGAGCAGCGGGCGGCAGGAGAGGTCTGCGCCATGTGGGACCCTCCTCTGGTGGCCGGGGAGCAGCCGGGGATTGAACCGGCGCTGCAGAGGCTGCGGGCAGCTTCGCAACCCGGCGCTCAACGGCTGCGCCACCGGGGAGGCCCCCTCTATATTATTTTAAACATTTATTTGTATTCTGCTTTTTTCAAAAATGGGGGAAAAAACGAACTGGAGAGACCTCACAAAACAATTGTAAATGAATCAGTCTTCCATAAGTAGATAAAGGGAAACCTGCAGGAAAATAAAAGAAAGCAGGGGATGCTCCTTAACATGTCCAAGATTGGGTAATCGCCCAATATTCAATCCACACTCAAACATCCCAGGAGACACGCATGTGTCCATGTTGAAATACGTGGCATCACCCTTTCCTTCTATTGTAGAAGTAGGAATAAACTCCATAGAGAAAGAATCACAGCAAAAAAAAAAAAAGACCAGTTGGGCTTCGTCCCCAATGGGGCAAACACTTTCCATGTTAAAGCAGCATAGATTAATTACAGCAATTATTATCACATCAACACTTATCCGCTGTCTTGCGGTATGCAGATGTCAGGGAGTTGGAGCCAACACTCTACCTTTCGATGGGGGGGTCGGGTGGCCATGCCCCGTCCAGGCTGATCTCCGAGGTGGTTCATAAGGTAGATCTACAAAGACAAAGAAAATAACTAAAACATCATGCATGGAATTTTCTAATAGATATTTTGTGTTTTGGGGGTTTTGTTTATTAGACTAAATGGTGTGCAAAATAATCCAGTATTACAAAGAAATGTCTGACTTGGATTCTACTGCATTTGGGTATTATTTACAAATTATAACTTTGTATGTATTTTTGATCTAAAATTTTCACATGTTCATTAGAAAACTCACTGACAGATTCTTACAGAGTTGGCTGGATCTTCTGAACTAATTTTCTACAATCATCTGTCAAGACCATTTTAAAAGTTTCTCGCCATTGAGTCTGTCCTGCTTCCAACGAGGCCTATCTAAACCCACCCCTTTATTATCTTCGTGATCCATCCAAAACAGAGCCTACAACTCTGATGATTCAACCAATTCGTGCTTGAAATCAGTCCCTAAAACCGTCAAACGACATTCATGTTCCTCCTTCTCCTTCCTGGGAAGCCAGCACTACCATTTGGCCTCTTATTTGCCAGCTGCCTCTCTCAGTCAGCCCTATTTTCCTTTGGTAATCTCATGCGCTTACACTAAGTCAATCTTAACTATGTATTTTCCTACACAAATGTCCACTCTTTCTATCTCTAAATGAATTTGTACTTTCTCTACAATTCTATGAAATCAACTGCAAGACTGAACAGCACTTTCCTCACAACATGTTGTTGTCCTCACAACGATGACATTGAGAGCTTAAGAATATGTCAATGCATTTAGTTTATTATCATTTGTCCCACAAACCTTCATTATACTAATCAGATGCAGATTCAATCACTATACTTCCACGTTCTAATGTGAGTGCTATTAATAAGCATGAAGACTAAGTCATTTCAAGTTTGTTTCGGAAACATTATTTCTATATTCAATCCTATTACAGGATCACTTCACAACTATGTCTTCTTGGATGGATAGGTCTCAGCTCAATGCCATGTGTCATTCTAGGCCAGCTACAGACACCTCATCAGGTAACTGCTGCCAGGCACCTGGAATGGTTATAAAATCTCACTTGGAGGGCAGGGCAATGCAATTTGTTTAAAACTTTTCTTTAAACAGATCATTTAACTTTGTTTAAAATTGGCAATTTGGTGGGTCACTCGTCAAAGAGCTTGACTCTATTGCAAAAAATGTGCCTCTTCCTATTTTCATATCCCAAAGAGAATAGCAATGAAATGCAATGTGAAATTCAATACAGAATTGCCCTAATTTATTTGGTCTGTTTGGCTACAAGCATTGCAACTAGTGTGGTCTGTGAAATTCTATCCTCCAGAGCTTTGGTTGAGTTAGATGATGTTTCTCTTTCAACTGCTATTGCCCACCACTCCCTCTCAGCTGGCATCTCTGCATTTTGGAACTGTATGCCCTTCCTACCCAGCTCCTCAGAGTCTCACTTTTCTGGTGTTGTGGTTACACAGGGGAATTAAATCTGCAAGTGCTATCAATTTACAACTAAGCTTCAGCTTATGTTTGGGAGTACTTCACACAGGGATTCTCATCCAGTTGCATTTTGTCACACACACACACAAAAAAAATGGTCAGCCAGAATTTCAATCAGAGAATCATCTCAAAAGGAAAATTTACTCACAAGGCAATCATAACAGGCTCTAGCCTAGTTTAGGAGCAGACAGGCACATGAGCAAGGGGCTTCTGTTTACCAAATGAAAACACAAGATGATACAGAAACACACCCCAGACTCTTATTTCTCAAAATGTGGTCTTCAGACCAGCAATATTGGCAAGAGTAGGGAGCTTGTTAGAAATGCAGTATCTCGGGCCTCCCCGGTAGCGCCGTGGGTTGAGCACAGCGCTGTGAAGCTGTCCACAGCCTCTGCAGTGTGCATTTGATTCCCAGCCGGCCAGGGAGATACCCACATGGCACAGCAGACCTCTCCTGCCCTGGCTGCTGCTCCCCTCAGCAGTGTCTTCATCCATCTGCCTGTTCTCCTCCCTACTGTCTCTGGTGAATCCTCTCACCCTCCCGCGCCTCTGGCCTGTACCCCAGTTCTTGTATAAGTAAATAAATCTAAAAAATAATAATATTAGAAAAACCATTATATTAAAAAAAAGAAAAGAGAAAGAAAGAAATGCAGAATCTCACTGTAGAGATACTCAACAGAATCTGCTTTTTAAGAAGCTCCCAGGTGACTTGGGTGTACCTTGAAGCTAGAGAAAGCCTGTTCTAGTCAATTTCCATTGTTCTTTTCTAGACTTCTGTGTTCCTACAGGTTTTAGTAGCAGTGCTTGCTGGACTACACCAGTGCTTTACCTGAGGTATAAAAACTCCAATGGAATTAATAACAAGTACTGGTAGGCTAGCTCCCAACCACTTCATGAGTATTACTCATGAAGGGTGACTGGAAAATATTAAACATCAAACTACTAAAAGAAAAATATTTTGTTACTCTTTTCATAAAACTCTTCTTAGGGATTATAACAATGTCCCATCCGCTCTTGAAAATAATTTATGACATAAACACCACCAAGTCCAACTGGTAGCCAAGAACTGCAGATGTTTTATGAATAGTGATTAACATGGTCATAGACATACTGCATGGAAGATAAGCAGGCTTCTGTTTTCTGTCATAAAATACTTGTTCAAAGCTTCCTTATCAGATACTGATCCCATGGCGTGGGCTTCATGCCGACTCCCTTAGGATGTGACCCTAGAAAATGTTGCTGAGACAGGAGATGCCCAGCCATGGCCTCTTCAGCAGCTACATCACCTCAAAGTGGGGCAGTCTTGAGGAGTTACATATACTTTGATGGCTTGAAAAAATTATTACTCCATGTACACTTGTTATTTGTTCCTTATTGATAGAAGATCTTATGACTCCTAATTCGAACATATTTTACATTTAATTTTTGGCATCATTTCAATGCACTCTTCATGTCCCTTCAAATTTGTTCTTCAAGGTAATTAACTCCTAGCTTTGGCACAAGAGCCAATGTTGGGAGGCTGCTTTTGGCTTTGGCTGTCTTTTCTGTAACAGTGTGTTTAAAAAGGGAACTTTATAAAGACCACTTCACAGGTGGCTTGGGCTTACCATGGAAATCTGTTGTACGCCATGGTTTTCAGACCCCAAACCATTGGAGTACATCTAGGGCATTGGTCCTTCTGTGCCTGCATTTTCGTATAGTTGCTGGGAGACAGTTTCTGACTGCAAAGATGACTCCTCCCCCACCCACGCCCTTCCCTAGACAACAGGGAATTGGGTCAGCAGCCCAGCTGCCTCTCACAGGGCTAAGTTCACCAGGCTTTCTGTTCTCCTTTCATCGAGGCTGCTGAAGAACAGCCCTCTAACGTCCTTGTCCTCTGCCAGCCCAGCGTGTTTTGTTTTTTTTTTTGTATTTTTTTTTGTATTTTTTTATAATAAATTTTATTTTTATATTCCCCATACAATTGCAACCCCCCCATTCTGCCATTCTGACCCCAATCCCTCCCCTCCTGCCCTCCACCCCCCAAAAAGTGTCTCTGGTTCATAGTTTTTTGTTGATTACTCAGCATTCAAAAAAGCCCAGCGTGTTTTTAAAGAGCTAGAGCTCGGGCCATGGGAGAGTCGTCCTCTTTGCAGGATCGATGCCGCATGGTACAAAGCGACTCTGGAGGTCCCTGGCAGGCTGGATGGGGAAGGATGAGCCTCGCCTGTTCTCAATGAAATTAGATGCTAATGGCAAAGACAGGAAGGCCAAAAGCCATTGCCCAGAGCCAAACTACGAACCCTTGTTTAATGGAAGGACGTTTTAGAGTCAACCTTAACATAATTATGTCACTTTCTTGTTTTCCTCCCATCTCCCTATGTTCTTCTAAGATCCTGTATCAAAACATTGAGCTCTGGGAGGCATTTTTCATTTCCTTTCATCTAAGTTTACAGATCTCTGCGGTTACATTATAGCTGGGGGAAGCAAAGAATGCATTCCTAGCCGTTTGGTCAATACAGGCTTCACGGTGCATGTAACAGAGGAGAAAGTGCTGCAGTGCACCCCAAGGACTGCATGTGTGTGGCTCTCAGCTACAAACTCCAGTGGAGGAGGAATTTGAGATTCTGAGGGGCTGAGTTGAAGAGCACCAGCCGAGAAGCAGAAGTCAGGACTGCAGTGGTAGGGTCTACTCTCCAGTCTCTTGATAGCAAACGCCCTTGATGTACATCATGCTACATGGGCTGCCATAGTGATGGTGGAGAAGGAGGGGGGGGTCAAGGAAGGCCTTCATGGCACAGAGCAGTTCACCATCCTAACCTGCTCCTCAGATGCCAGGCAGGAGGCACACCAGAGGGTCCAAAGCTGACCTGAAAGTGTGTATAAAGAACCTGTTTCGATTTATGCCACCTGCGATTTCAAGAGGCCACAGCTCCTAGGAGGTGTGTTTGGCGGAGAAAGAGGGTGTTTAGAGAAGTGGGGAAAGAGATTTTGGTAGCAGTAACAGAAACTACCTGAGAAACACAGAAAACACCCTAAGATAATTATTTTATAAATAGAATTGAAAATGCTATGTCTATATACTAACACTGTAAGAGCAGAGGAGAGATGGATGTAAAAACTCAACAGAGGGATGGCGAAAGACAGGGCATTTGGTGTCAAGAACGTTTGGAGAAAGTAAAGAGGAACACACGTGGAGCAGTCAGGGGTGGGGTGACCCACGGGTCCATTATGCAGTTACCTGTTAGGTCATGAGATAGTCATGAGCAATTGTGGGTAAATCTGTACAAGACAGCAGCAGGAAGGCTGACTTGATGGGACTCAGGAATACATGATCCACGTGGGAAGCTTGGCCATGAGAGAGGAGAGGGCATCTGGGGACGCAGGCCAGGGACGGCTACTCAAGGCAGAAAGAAAAGGACAGAGTAGGACAGAGGGGTCTTCTGTTCTTCTGCTTCCACGGGTGTGGGGTCAGAGACATGGGTGGACATGAGGATTGAGACACAGGCCCACGGGGGGACAGAACTCTGGTCTCTACCCCCAAGGACCCGAGGGCCTCTCCCAAGGAGAGTCAACAGTGTCCTCAGTGACCAGACCTCACGGACCACCGGGACACAGTCAGGTTTGGGCTGGCCCCTGTGCCCCAGAGACAAGCACTTCTGCGAGTCAGCCTTGCAAGGCCCATCCTCGGAGCCATCACCAAGTCCTCCATTTGCACGCTCTCGGGGTTCACGGTCACAACCTTCAAGGCTGGTCACCGGCCCACCCCGGTGACCATCCTCAAGGTCAAGTCCCTGAATCTGGCTTAGAGCAAACAGTTCGGGCACGTGCCGTCTGCCTTACAGTCTTCCCAGCCCCGGGGCCCATCTTGGTGTCTCCCTTCAAGACTGCAGTCCCCGGGACCTGAACAGGTATTTCCAATACAAACGGGGTCTTGGGGACACCCGACTGCTCACGGTGCGAGGGACGTGTGGCCACTCCCGGGTCACACTGAAGTGCCTGGCCCGAGGAAGCGTCGCCTCAGGACCACGTGAGGCGGGACTGACGTTCGCTGGCCGGACCTGCCGCACATCCCAGCCACCACCCCCAGCCACTCCATTCCACACTCTGGACGGCCCGGGCCTTATAAGCCCTCTGCCTCCAAAACCAGAAAGGCTCTTTTCAGGACCCACTGTTCTGTCTCTGTGGCCACAGCAGCGGCTGAGCAAGGTGCCCACTGGGCTGAACTAGCGCATCGGCCCACGCCGGGCCCTTCCACAGCAGCTCCCCACCCCCCCATCGAGGGGCTTGGCGGGAGCGCTAAGCCAGCAGGCCCTGCAGGCCAAATGCTGGAGAGCATATTCACTGTTTTTTTTTTAAGTATGGATGGAAATGTTTGGCTTCCCAAGGACGCCTTTACCAGTGGTAAGCCTGCACATCTCTAGAGAATGTGTGCACTTGTATTTTCCAATTTTGATTCTCTTGGAGACTTTCTTTAGACCCTGGTCTTGCCCAGCTTGATGGCCTGTGAAAGCCCCGCGCCATTTTGGTGGCCACACGCAGCTTCCTCTGACCAGAGAGAGGAGCTCACCAGCTCTGAGTCACACAGCAGGGACGGGCGACCTGGGGGAGGGCAACACTGGCCTTCGGCCTTGCTTTCCAGGCATGAGGCTGATGCCCCAGGCCAGTCCATGCTGAGATTGGATGGCTAGGGCGTGGGCTAGCGGTAAAGAGCAACTGATTTTAAAAGACATGAGTTCCAGATTGTCTGTGAAAAATGGAAAAAGCATCTTGCTGTTCTGACTCGTATTTCTGAGGCTGGCAGAGCAGCCCTCGGTCCTGTCCCAGGCCTCTCCTTCTCCATTGGTCAACCCCTACCCTCCTTTGGCATCTGACCTCCCTGGAAAGCTCCCCCACGGAGGTGACGCCTCCCCCTGGTGCTCCAAAGTGTCACTGCTGCGGGGCACCTCGGCTGGCACATCAGTACGGCTGGCAACGTCCATGCGCGCGTGTCCCGCTCACTGGCCCCCGTTGCCAGCCCTCGACAGACAGATACTCACGCGTGAGTCAGTGTACGGTGCTGGGCGGCTCTGCTGAACCAGCCAGAACTTCTGGACAAGCTTGTTCCCTGTCCTGTCAGCTTGTTCCCTGTCCTGTCCTCCATGGCCTGCACCCCGGTGTCCATCTGTGCTGGGAACAGACTCAGCTTTCTGGAGTCTGCTCGTCTTTGTATCCCCAGAATCTAACACCGTGTGCGGCACTCACAGGCCATGGTAGGTGGGGGGGGGGGGTGTGTGTGTACGCGTGTGCACACGACATGAAAATAAATCACCCACTTAAGTCATCCGGAAGAACATGCAGTAGGTCTGGATGCAAATATCTAGGACACGTGTCTGCGCTGAGGCACTGGCGCCAGGACAAGCTTGGAGAGTCCCAAGGGTGATGGGCTCCCTCCTGTGCGTGACCTTCCCTGGAGGAGGGGCCGATCACACCCAAGGCCCGAAACTCAGAGGCAGGACTTCTGATCTGAGGATACACTTATCCTCCAGCTAATTCAGCGAGTCAAGGGCTGGTCTGCGTTGAGCCCCCAGTTTTAGTGCTCTGTGAAGGGCACAGTCAGGGGGATTAAGGTTCCAAATCCAGAAAGGCAGAGTCTGACTATGTGGGACCCACTTCAGACTCCCCACAGGCCCTCACTGCAGCAGGCAACCGGAGTCCGGAGCTCAGCAGGACCACCGGGGGGGTCCCTCAATGAACAGATCACACAAGGGTGTTTTCGTACCTGGCCTAGTTGTAATTCTTTGCGTAGCTTCAGGATATACTGAAGTATTTGGGAAAATAAAAGCTGCACCCCCTGCAGACAAAAGGAAAGACAAAACGTGTGAAGGTCTTTGCGTGGTGCTCCATCCCACAGCGGGGCTCCGCCGGCGTGGCCCCGTGACAGCCAGAGCAAGGACCCCACCTGCCGCGGCAGATGCAGGGCGGGCGGGCAGGCCCAGGGGCTGGACACAGGCTGCCAAGAAGAAAGCGAGAGGAAGCGCTCCATGGCCACGTGCTAGAGTCTTGGGTTTTGATTTTACACTTCTTGCTAAAGCCCCCTCCACCCCAGCCAGCGATTCCATTTCATTAACAAAAAATCACCTGCATATGGAGCATGTTTTAATTCCTAAATTCATAAAACCCTGCGAAGCATAGTACAGAACCTTTGGGAAGGAGGACCAAAGAATGATGACTATTTAACCAAAGACTATATGGAGCTTATTATTAATTAACCCAAATCTTTATTCAATGCCTGTTCTCTCTCTCTCTCTCTCTCTCTCTCTCTCTATCAATGCTGACATTATCAGCAAAAAAACTCCCTTTTCACAGTCCAGCCCATTTGGAATCTGCTGTCCTGTTCTCCAATCACTTCTATGCGTCACAATAACAAAAATAACGACATCAGAGATTTCTTGAAATGTTCACTCTGTTAAAATTCTTTGTAAGTTTACATTATTAAAAGAATTCTGTGAATTTACAGAAAATATGTGTAGCTCAAAGGAGTTCCTAGGAAGGGGAATGACATGGTGTGAGGGATTTGCCATTTCTGACGCTGAGGCCACCACCAGCTGATGTGTATACACTAAAAAGCAAATGTCTTGACACTGAGAGCAAAATAAAATAGCGATGTCATTGCTAATTCTAAAACCTGGACCCACATTATCCATTTTAAAATGAAAGGGAAAATATTTGGAAACCTGCAGCATGTCTACATGAGGGCTGCAGGGGACCCCAAAACACTTGCTGTTCTGGCCCCGGCCTGGGTGGGGGCAGAGGGTCCCTGCAGTGGGGGGAGGGGGGATCCCTGAGGCCAAGCTTCTGTCATTGCTTCCATCTGGGCGGAGGAAATGAGCCCCAACCAAGAGCACACCCATCCCTGACACACCCCCTCTACTCTGAGCCCGGGAGGGAGGTTAGTGGGATGAAGCAGTCTGTTAAACTCCGCCAGACTCACAAGAACATAAATAAACAAATGAAATGCAGAATCAACGGTTAGAGAGAGAAGAGCAAGGGACTGGGTTAGTCACTAATTTTATCTCCAAAACTGTAACAGCGTGTCCTTCCCCCTTGAGCGAAAGCTTGCAGAACACACAGCCTGGCAAGGCCTCCTCCTGCCTCCTGCAAAGCGTCCTTGCAAGGTCAGAGACAAGCCAGGTGGCCTATAACTTTAACCAGGAAGGGGAAAAAAGAAAACTCCTGCTTGTCTAGTAAACATTCCTTTCAGAATAAAAATGAAGGAAGAACACAAAAGGGAGAAGGTGAAGGCTGCTCCCCGCCTCGTTTTCTACAGACGGCACAGCGCGTCTCTAGGGAGCAGGAGCAGTGGGTTTAATGCAGCAAAGGTGAGCCACGGGCCTGGCGAAAGGGATGTTCTGCACGATGACCTCTTGGTGGAAGGGAACCCTTCCGAGGTCAGGGCAGGGGAGCGCGTGGGCACCAGAGCACCCCCTGCCTCCAAGGGTGGTCACTGCAGCACCCAGTCCCCTATGGGCTTCCTGCCACCCTGGGGCACCACCGCCCAGGCCCACCTTTCCAGCAAGCCACCTGCAGACCAGACCTGGTGCTATGCTCGTCCTGTGGGGCAGGGCCAGGGCCAGCATTACCTGTGTTTCTAGCATGCATTAACCGCGGAGAGTTTTGTAAGGCTTTATCAACATCATCTGAAGTCAAATGTGGAAGAGGAGCTACAAAACAAAACACAAAGCAACATCAAAATGGAAAAAAAAAAGGAGGGAATTACCTTTCTTCGAACAGAAAAATAGCAAGAGTGAGAAACATCTCCCACCTGCACCCTAAGGGCGTGGCTCTGGGAAACGTGTCCACGGCCAGCTGCCGGGCAGCAGGCTGGGACCCAGGTGGCAGCCCCCGCAGGGGCAAGTGGGTGGGTGCCAGGCAAGGCAGTGACCCCGCACAGTCGCCCTACTGCTACCCTCTCCTTCCACCGCGCAGCAGGCGTGCTCAGGCCCCAACCACGCGCCACGCCTGCCTGTCGGGCTCCGCCATCTCGGGATGCCAAGGAACACCCCTGCTTTAGCCCAGGACCATCTCAAGGGGCCCCGGTTAGTGCTGGGAGAGGTGACCCCTGGTGCCCATGAGGGAGAGGCCTTGCAGGACGCTCGTCCACGTGGAACCCCACGGAGACTGAGTGACGGGTGAGCAGACTCGGCTCCATGTGCCTCTGACGTGTCTTCTTGGCTGAAGGGACCCTGCAGGAGGCTGCTGAATGCTAAGGGCCGCTCTGGCTCCTGGTCGAAGGGGCGGCTACTGTCCACGCACCTTTACCGAGGCACCACCTTGCGGGTGGCGCGCGCTCGGCTCCTAAGTGGGAGTGAGGGTGAGGAGGAGACCTGGGGGAGGGGGGCTAAGCACGTCGGCTACAGGAGGAGCCCGCGGGGCGGCCATCTTACTCTCTCTGAGGTAGTGGAGATGCGAGAGAAGGATGTCAGCATTGTAGCTCGGGGTGAGCCTCTGAAAGTCGTCTTTGGTCATTTTGCACAGTTCCTTCCCGTCGATGTTCTGGAAGGACAGGATGTCCACGTCGGGGAGGCCGTACTCCTTCACTGCCCACTCCAGCCACTGCCGGACGTGGTCTGTGCTCCACAGCGTAGGGTCTGCAAGACAGAGAGACACGCGCGTCACCCCCAGGGACCTGTGTCCAGGCCAAGGCTCGTTCCAGGGGCCCAGCCAGCCGCGACTCCCAGAACAGCCCCTCCACGGTCCAGAAGCACCTGCCTCAAGCCAGGCTCGGGGGCTCAAGGGAAGGTCAAAAACCACCAACAGACTGACACCTGCAGCCCTCCGGTCTTCACACTGAATTCATGATTCTGAATCATCCACACCGCCCGCACCTGCTGCTGAGCCAGGCGTGTCGGTGGGCATGGGGGAAGGCCCTGCAGTTCCCCCATTTATTTTCTTATTTATTTTTTCACAACCCCATGAAGATGGACACTTTCTTTCCTTAGAAAATGCTGGTACGTTTATATGAAGAAAGAGCTGGCGATACATGGCAGGTTTATGCAGATGAGAGATCGCACAGAACTCAGAGCTGGGTCTGTATGAAACACTGAAAAACACTGGCCACAGAACTGGAAACACCGAAGGGAAGGCAAACCACACCAGTGCCTCCAGGAGCAGCCACTTCCCTGGGAGGGTTGTCAGTTACTCCCTCTTCCTGCAGAGACCTCGTGTCCCAGCTAACGTGCACCTGCAGCCGGGGGCGCTGGCGCCAGTCACATGGCACAGCTGGAGACCCGCTCCCACAGGATACTGGAGGCGCCATCACGCTCTGATGCCACAGACAGACGGCACCCCGAGGAGGACCAGGAGGCCAGGGCCCGGGGGAGGAGAAGCAGGTGACCCCAACGGAAACAGCCCGGGCCCGGGGTGTTCACTGGGAGAAGGCATCTTCCCAGGTGCTGAGCTTTGAGAGACACCCGGGCGGGGGCTGGCACCCGGAGTTCTAGCCCCGGCATCTCTCTACCTGCCGCAGGAGGCTGCTTCTCCGTTCTGCATCTGTCACGTGTCAAATACAAACCTTGACCTCAGTCCCCTGGACAGGCCCTCGAGGTCAAGTATGCCCACTGTTCTGAAATCCGGTGTGTGAATTCAGGCCCAATGCATCCAGCCCATCCCGCCCCCTCACCCCGGACACTCCAGAAGTGGCCACACCCATCACCCCCACTTTACATGTGTATCAAATGCACACACTTTGTGTTTTTAAAATCAGCACACATGCTACCTGGCTTGCTCCAGCACTCAGCGCTGTATTTTCCAGACGTATCCAAGAGAACACATGGAGGAATATCCAATCACCCCAGCAGCCCTTGGGCACCCCACAAACACCCAATTTGCTCTCCCACAAAACTGCCTGTGCATGTGAGGAGTCGGCACTGGCCCGGCACCTGGCTCCACGTGGAATCACCCGGGAGATGGAAAACTCGGATGCTGGGTCTCCCCCAGGAAGACTCTGACATTATTTGGCCGAAGGGCAGCCTGGGCCTGAGCACCCGAGCTGTGAAGGCTCCCGGGTGATGAGCACAGACAAGGTCAGGCCGTGCCCCCAGGACCTGCGGCAGCGCCGGCCTCAGCATCACCTGGGCGCCAGAGCAAGGCAGGGTGTCCACGCCCCATACCTGCGTCTCCCCCACATCTCCAGCATCACCTGTCCGTGCGGCCCAGGGGGTTGGGGGGCTTGTGGGGAGGCCCTTGGGCGGCACCGCCTTCTCCCTGCCTGTCTCCACCCATGCCCACATGCCCATCTTTCCTGGAATCTGGAAAGGTCTCAGTTCTTGCTGCAAAGGGTCCACAAAAACTCGACAGCTACACTGACAAAGAGGGGCGCTGTCCTTGTTACCCACGCACTTGGAGACGCTGTTTGTGAACCTGGGACGAGTCCGCGGGGGCCCAGCTTCACCCAGCTCACTGCGTGCAGACCGCGCCGGCCCCCGTCAGGGTTCTGTCTCCAAGGGTACCACATACTAAACCCCAGACTGTGTTCCCAGTGGCCTGCTCTCAGGACACCCCTAGTTCAGCCCTTTGCCCTCAGTTCCAGGCAGAGGGCAGTGGCGTGAGGGGTGCTGTCCACTGGCCCCTTGGGTCACTTCCCAGGAACCCCACTGCTCGGGACCAGCCAGACCGTCTGGTTTGCTTTGTGTTGCCTCTAGTACCACAGGAGGACGATTTGCTGTTGTAGCTGCTTCTAGAAATCAGCTCATTCTGGAAAGGAATTTTCTTCTTTCATTGGTGGAACCAGATAATCTCAAATTATACAGAAGCAACTGCCTCAAAATCACTGGGTTCATGTTCGTTCATGAACTGACACCTTCGGAGGCCAGTTAATTAGGGGAGTCTGATCTCTCTGTCATTCCTGGGGGGTCCCTTTTTTAAGTGTTTTTATAAAACTTCTCCCAAGGGTGTAAAATGTTAATCTCGCTTTCTTAAAACAGTTCCTTCATGGAAATCGCTTCATTTGAAAACAACCGAATGGCACAAAGTCAGCTACTCCTGTATCCCTCCGGGACGTGGGCTCTTTGCTCCTGCCTGATGTTCTACCTCCGGTGGCGAAACCACCACCTCTGGACCGGCTGGCAGGTCAGTCGTTACCACCTTCCCCACGAACCGCCCAACAATACATTTCAAATGTCTTTTTAATGGGCACAGTGTCTGAACTAAAAATTCCACTTCTAGAAATTTATCCTAAGGAAATAGTAGCGGATGTGCGCAATGATTTATTTTCAAGGATGTTCTTTGCAGCGTTGTGTATAATAGCCAAATACGGGAAACACCCTAAATCCCCAGCAGAAAGAGAGCCTGTTATGTCTGTCGTGGGGCCGGGAATGTTCCTGACATTTAGCAACTTAAAATTATACTGCTGGGCATATTATTCTATGAAAAAATGTTAAAATAAATGAAATTTGAAGGACTGAAAATTCAGCAGCATAATTCTGTTTTGCAAGGAAATATAAAGACATGGAAGAAGCATAAGACCGCCAGGCAAATGCCAGCTGTTGTCTCTGGGGAAAAGCAATGGAGAATTTTAGATTTATTTTCTTTTTCATTAAACTGTGTTTTCTCATTTTCTACAACATATAATACGTGGATTAAAAACTAGTTTATAAAAAACATATTCTCCCCCATGTTTCAAAATCATAACAAGTCCTTATAAAAGATTCTGAAGATATATGTATTAGATGTATATATTAAATTATATGTGTTCTTAATTATATATATTTAAATATATATTTACATTATGTATATTTAGGATTTATATATCTAAGGATTATATGTATTTTTAAGGTATTATTATAAAATATTTTTTGAGAGTATAGAATTTAAATCTCACTTTCTTAGTTTGTTTATGGAAGTTGCTTCATCTGAAAAAAAAAAAAAATAAAATGACACCGAGTCAGGTTGCTCCTGTATCCTTTTGGGATTTGAGCTCCACACCTGCCCTCCAAGTTGATAAGCAAAGATTGTCAGCAACCAAATATGGCCACTGAACATTCCTTCCCGGCTGTCCAGGGGACCCCACTATCCAGATCTATTGCAGATGGGCTGTAATAAGGCACCATCCCAACCCTCAGCATGACGTACACAGGCCTCAACTCTCAGGCCCCGTCTTCATGGCTGTCAGCCCAACCACTCCCTGGGCCCTTCACCCTCGTCCTATAGCCTCACACAACCAGGTCTCCATGGCGCCACCCCTGCGCCCGTCCCGTGGGGATAAGCCCGTCCCCCTACCTGCAGCATCTGTCTCGCAGGGCTGGAGGAGTCGGCGCTGGTAATGAGCCTTGGACTGTGGAGACTGGAGGTCCCTATGGCCCCAGGCCAGAGCCCACACTGAGCCTGCCCCAGCTAGGGTCAGGGGCGGACACTGCGGTCAGCATTTACTAGGGTTCACATCAGTGTGTTGCTCCCCACTATCATCACCCCTCAGCTCTGCAGAGAGCCCCAGCAGCCTCTCGGGATCTCCCCTACACTTGGTGTCACGACAGCAACAATTTCCTGTCCCTGTCCCACCACCCCACCTCAGAACGGCCCACAGCACCCCAGGAGATTCAACAGGTCTTACAGCCCCTTCCTATTCCCTAGCTGTGCACTCGAAGGGGAGCGGCAGGGGACACAACAGCCCCTGCCGGACGTCACCTTCTCCCTAGGGTGCTGGTTCAGCACCTACCTCCTGACCCAGAGGGGACTGGGCCTGGTCTTCTCATCTCTAAACAACACATGCAGTTCCAGAACTTGAGGCATGCCTCCGACAGGCCCAGGACTCAGACTGCTGAAGGTCAGGCAGGAGTCATGACTCCTGCTGCACACACGAGCACCTCTGGGTCCAGGGGTGCACCAGACACAGCTATGAGTGTCACAGGGCAGCCGCCACAAGCCAGCTCAGGAGCAGAGTGTGTCGTCCATGCAGAACATGCAAGAACAGGGAGGTAGCAGCTGACCACAGCCCGGAAGACAGGACGAGGCTTGACCAGAGAGCTTTGGTCTGAGCCTGAATTAACAACAGGATTCTGATAGAACTAGGGTTATCGAGAAGCCCGATAGTTTAGGGGAGCAGCTTGGGCTCAGCTTCCTACCCACAGAGGCCTGAAGGACCATGTGGAGGGAGGAGGGGTTCCCATGTTGGGAGTGGAGGGAGCACAGCCACAGCGGTGATGGAGATCACAGTCGGTCCAGCCAAAGACAGCCTGGAAGGTCTGGCTGAGAAGACTGGACTTGCCCACCTTGAAAACATCTGAGGAATCAGGAAAATATCTGAAATCAAGCTCAGCAAACCAGGTGACCAAGTGAAAGGCTCTCCGGCCAGCCAGAGTGTTCATATTTGGGTTGGGATTCAACCACTTACTGGATGTGACCGCTAGCCGCTCTGGAATGTCTTTTCATTTTCTGTGGATAATTAAGGGAAACGTTAGGAGAATCAAGAAGCACAGGAGAGAATAGATGTGAAAGCGCGCTGCCAACAATAACATGGCGCAGAGAAGCGAGGCACCTGCACGCTGGACTTGTGCTCTGCAAACGCTGCGAAAATGAAATAAACAATCTATTATCGCCGGGACAGCCTCTTCCTTCCAACACAGAAGTCTGATTTATCGCTTTATTTTAAGAA